CGCTAATAAAATAGCTTTAAGACGTCCTTTTGTTTTTTTGGGCCAAAATTAAGACGTCCATTACAAGTAAAGAAAATGACTTGTCCAGTCAAGATTACTGGACGAGGCCAATTATTGGTCTGGAAACTGCTTAATACTGAGGGTATTTTGGACATTTTAGACTTCAACGAAGAAGTTGCATTCACTTGCAAGTCATCGTCTTCCACGTTTCCAGTCTAGCATGTCTTCCTTATCTTGCACCTCGGCCAAATAGTTAGCTTAGTTGGGATGCAGAGTGGGGCCATCCAAAGAAACAACAGTGAAGAGGGCAATTTAGGCTTTGCTCGGCCACATTATTGAGGATAATGGCCACATCACTCCTACTGTTTCTTCTCTGTATAATCTAACTTCAACCGCGTCAGATGGAGCCTCCATACTTATATTGCAACTTTGCAAGATAATGAACATAGTTTGCAGTGAGGATTTTTAATTGGTCCTTGCTGGTCCCTCCCACCGGAAAGAATGAAGAAAACCTTGACAAGTCCACAAAGATGCTAAGAAGTTCAGGAAAACATATGTACAAGATAATCTACGTCCTTAATATAGAAGTTAGATAATTAATTTACAAATATTAAAAAAAATATTAGTTATTTGTAATTAATGAATATTGTTTTTTCTAAAATACTCTCATTATTCATATTCATTATAATAAAAACCTTTTAACATGTACAATCACCATCATGAGACTATTTTGAGAGAAAATAAATAAATATGTGAGATAAAATGGATTGCTGTCTTGTAACCAAATTGAGTCGTCAACTAACTCTTATATTTAGGAATGGAAGCAATATTATTTAGCACCCTGATGTCCATTAAAGACCTATCTATATCTTATCTTGTCGCTTACATTTTATCTTGTCGATTAAAGAAGCTTTCCTGCAAAACCTTCTTTAATCGACGAGATAAAATGTATCATGAAAAATGCCATCCCTGCTCTCAAGAATATTACAACTTTATTCAATTTCTAATTATCTAGGATCCTGAGGTGACTTTTTCTAACAATTATACCAAAGAATCGATAGATTCCCCCACTTGCGAAGTAGATTTTGTAAGAGATGTCAATCATCGTTTTTTTTCCTTTTCTTGCGGTTTTCATAAGGAGACACTGTATCGTAAAAACTATTCCCATAAATGCCACCTCATGACTGATGTGGGCATATATGGTATTGATAATTAAACTAGCTTGTCGAGCTACAACGGAAATTTTAAACTTGGGGCTTGCTATGAAATGGATTGCACCTGAACCTGATTTTCGATACTGTAAAAAATAGTAGACGCTGTGGTTTTCTTAAATATAAATTCTGCTGCTTCTGTAAGGATACAACTCATCTCAGAAGTTAGTGGTAAATGTTAATGCATTCATCTGCATGTCATAATTTCCCATTGCTAAATTGGATAACTTTTTTTATCTCTGTATCCTTTGTTTTGTTCTTTCTTAATATGCAAATTCTAGCTAGTATTTAACCCCACTTTTCTTTCTTTGTGTGTTATTGCTGGAACAGGAGGACATTCAATTAAAAAAAAGAAGTCATTGTAGGTAATAGATCTGTTTTTTGTTTTTTTCTTAACATACTTTGTGTTTCGCTATAGTGTCATGCTCGCATTCTTTTATTTCTATCAACGTCGAAAGAAGACCGGTTATGTAAAGTCATACACACAAACACGTACTGCTTCTTCTGTTTCATCCGTGAAAATGGAGGATTCTGAGATTAATGCAGGTAAATATTTTGGAGTCCCTGTCTTCGCATACAGTGAACTTGAAGAGGCCACTAACAATTTCGATTCAGCCAGAGAACTTGGAGATGGAGGTTTCAGAACAGTATACTTTGGTAATACTGCGAATTTAGTCCCTCTAGAATCCTAACATTTCATAACTGCCAGTACTCATTTTCCTTGATCTTATGATGTATCATCTCCAGGTAAACTTCGGGACGGTCGTTATGTTGCCGTGAAGCGACTGTACGAGAACAATTACAAGAGAGTACAACAATTTATAAACGAAGTTCAAATCCTGACACGCTCGCACCATGCAAACATTGTGTCCCTCTATGGCTGCACTTCCAGGCACAGTCACGAACTCCTCCTTGTATATGAGTACATTCCTAATGGAACAGTCACGGATCATCTTCATGGTGATCGAGCAAGGCCAGGCTCACTGCCTTGCAATATCATAATGAACATAGCAGAGCTGGCATTTCAGTGTTTGCAGAATTTGAAGGATAGGAGGCCTTCAATGTAGCAATTTCTGGAGGCGCTGAGGGATATAGAGAGTGATGGGAAGCATAAAAGCAAGCCGGAGGTGATCGATATTTCTGCAGATCATGTTGGGTTGCTCAAGAATGGTCTGCCTCCGCCTTCACTTGATTCTAATTTGACAAGCAAGTCTACAACTTCAAATTCTAGCAATCGAGTGGTGATCTTCTCTCTTTCTCATCTCAGCAAGTTATCCATCATTTATGGTAGAAGTAGCAGCTAATCTACCTATTCTTAGTCTCAAGTTTCTTTCACCTGCCAGCGTGGATAGCTAGGAGATGATATGTATATAGAAGGATAAAAGTTTCCCTGTTTATAATTTTGATCTGTGAAGGAGTTGGTTTTAAATAAATCTTCATCCCCCTTCTATTTTGATCTATTTTGAGATTATAGTGGAAATATAAGTTTAAGCACACCCAATGTGTTAATCCAAAAAAGATAAAGTAACCCCAGTGAAGAATGAAACAATGCCAACAAATCCGGCTTTACAGAGTTATCTCATATAGTCGTAGTCCTCCAAGTTCTAATCTTATAGGGGAAGATATGACAGGCTTTGGATACGTTTCCAATGAATCGCAACTTCCTTTAAAAAGACAAACATAGGGAGAGTGTTAGGATTGTTTTTGGAAAATTAGGGAAATAGGAAAAGATGCTTTTTGCGGGTCAGAACCTTGACTTTCTATTTTGGAGAAAGGGGTGGAAAATTAGCAGAGCTGTAGGGTGACTAGGGACAAAGGCTACGAAGGATTGTTTTTGATAATGTGAAAGTCACCTTTTTGAGTCTATAAATCAGTTCCTTGGTTCAGCAGGAGGCGTGGAGAATTTGGAATTGAATTTGGCCCTAGGGGAAGAACAGAACCAACCTCTCGAAAGTTGGCAAGCACAGTCGGTTGTAGCGTGTCTTGTTTGTGTGGCTTGTGTCTTTGTTCAGTGTTCGTCTGAATTTGTGACTGTTATCGTCTCCTCAATGCGTAATTAAGGATGGAAATAGGCAGAAGCCTTTCAGCATTCATATAATCTATTGCTACTTTTAAAATTTTTGAATGAGTCTAAGCATATTTTCATCAATTCTTTTCTTGACATGAAATATATTTTTGTAAAGTTTCAATTTGAATGGTGAAACTTTTAATGTTGTATCAACAAAGTACTTCATACACATATATATTTGTTGATTAGCATGTCCATAACTTCTTGTTTAAGAACTCACAATATCATGTTGTAGTTTTGATTAATCTAAAACTTATAATTACATCTCTAGATTAAAAGGGTGTTTGGGTACGAGGAAAAGTGCTTTTCAAGATCTAAATAAACTCCTTCATATATTTACTTTGTATACTGTAAAATTATTTTTAAAATCATGGTTTTGATTCCATCTAAACACTCCCTAAGTCTATCTATTGTAAAACAACAATACAATTAAATAGTGTCCTTAATATTACTAACTTATAGTTTATTTTGCAAGAGCATCCAGTAAAAGAAAAATTATGTTAAAATCTTAGATTATTAATTTAATCATGATATATTTTTAGAATAGTTTATTATTAAACAAATTATGTATGGCTAACCAAAAAAAAACAAATTATTGTATGTATATTAACGTAATTGAATCAAGTTTTATGAGATATCATAATTAATAGAATTTTGTTATTTTATTGTAAATTTAAATTAAATTTATTTAAATAATTAAATCATATGTAATCAAACCTTATTTAGGGCATAGTATAAGATCTTAAATAAGCTTGAGGAGTTATATACAGGACAACACTTAAGTCAAGTACCCTAGGTCCATTACACCCAGTGAGCCAATCAGACAAGATAGAGGAACTATGGTAGGAAGAAGACGCTCGTCACGTTGTCCCTCCTAGAACTGGCAATTTCATTGAAGAAGAAGAAGAACTCATCATCAAAACTCCCATAGACTTTTCGATAAACGGGAGGGGGGGATGAGGGGATCATAATGCTCTCTATTCAATAGATTTCAATATGAATTTTCACTCTCTGCTTGCTCCCATTCTCCTCTTTTGCTTTCTTACTCTCTCTGAGAACAAGTCCCATAATTTGCACCCTGGATCTCGTGAAGTACATCTGAGGGTTCTGATTCCTGTTTGATTTCATTTTTTTTTTGGATCAAAAGTTCATCCAATGTGTTTAGAAAACTAAACTTACACATGTAACCGGTTAAAATTTAGAGAAGTCTTGGTAGGATACGATTTTAGAGGTTAAACACTTGAACAAAGATAAGATTTTAGTGGTCAAACAATTTCGGACGCTACTTGTCAACTCTAAAAGTAACATGTCCATTTTAACTTCTTACACAGCTTGACCTGTCCATTTGTCTAACCTCGATGACGATGGAGAAGCTGCATGGCTTTGAGAAATTAATGAACAATCAAAATATCATAGTTAACTCAGACTAATCAGCAAGTCTAAAAATATAACATGCTAAGAATAGCTCACTGGTCTTTGAGCCCTTAGTTGTATTGTAATACCATACATAATTATATTTACATACGTGATAAAATACTTTATTTAAAAGTTCATACGTATTTCTAATATTCATAACAGGACATAATCTCAAAACATTTTTCTGATATAACTTAACAAAATAAACTATTAAAATCTTATAGTCATGACAAATAAAAATATAACATAGTATATGCTTGGGGTGCACAGAAGCCTTCATGACTCAATCCGTCGGTGCCTTCCCTTGATTCCTACTAGATCCTTTGCCTGAAAGTGTTAATATAAGGAGTGAGATCTAACGTCTCAATAGCTACTGAAATTCTAACATATACAAAAAAACCATATATGACAGAACAAAAATTTGGTTTTATGTGTGTTTGTATTTGTTGATGAAAACCATGGATTTATATATTCAACTCAATGTCACTTTCAATTCAACAATATATCATTTTGCAATATGTCTAAAAATAATACAATATGCATCCTCCCTTATATTATTGTCTACCCTTATATTGCTAACTGGAGCCATAGACTAACACATAATCCAATAAGAACTAATCCATTTTATTGAATTATTCTAAGCTCACCAAAACTGGCAATATATCCGACCAAAGATATAGAGCTTAAGTTCGGACTATGGCTCCCATCCTTTGCAAATGAAATAAGGAGGGTCACATGTCCTATAGCTTCAATGAATTCCCAGCCAAAGAAAAACATAAAAGAAGGGGTCTTGACAAGTGCCATCTACTGTGCACCGAGTGATGGCATACCACGTGATAATTTTATATCCAATACAAATCTTCTTCTATTCTTAGCCTAATAGTGCATATGTTATATACAAATAATATTATATCAAAAGCATGTCCTCAAATATATTATTAAAATAAGATAGTAATAAAATTTTTATACTCCTCCGGTCCTTAATATAGGACTTAATTCTTGAATTGGTTTTGGTCCTAAATATGAGACCCATTTCTTATATTTATTAATTTTCTCTAAATTACCCCTATGGATACTCTCTCAACCATAATCAAGTAGAAGAAGAAGAGGGGGTATTAAGAAAGATGATTATGGTGTTTTAGAAAACTTGTGTCACTTTTTTTATAATTAACTAACTTACCTAACTTCCTTAATTTAATCAAATTAGTTAAATGGGTCTTACATTAAGGACTGGAGGAGTACCATTTAACAGCAACTCATTATAATTCAATAACTATCAATATATTTAAATATTGATCATAATTAACAGCAATAAATCTTAACAAAATAAAGTAACATAATAAAACATTTATTTAAAAAAATCATGATATATATATTTCAATATGATATAAAAACTAGTAAATCCATAAAACAATCATACATAATTCACATGTACATAAAAAAATTTTTAGAGTTACTTGCTGCTCTTTAACTTACAAATAATCACACAATGATTACTCCAAAATTCTCAAGAGTCTACAAAATTGCACATAAATATTTATTAATGTATAACTCAAATTATTCTAAAATTCTAAGACTACCCTCTAAACTAAAATTACAAAAAAAAAATTAACTCTCCCAGATCTACCTATTTATAGTAGATATAATATTATTTTGGAAATAAAATTTTCATATAAGACTATTTAAATTTAATAACTTAAATAGATATATTTGTTACCTAAAATATAAATATTTTATATTAAAATCTCAATTATTTATTATAGTCTCATTTAAAAAAATTTTCTTAGCCAAACAACTCCTTTGAAGTATAAATAAATTTCAATTTTTATAAAATTCTCGATTTACAATTCTTCAAGCTTTCAAAAATTATTTCAAAAATGTATCTTTAACCTATTTAACATTCAAAGTGATTAAAACCTCAATAATACATTAAATAACTCAAATAAATTATTTAATTTAAATTTAATTGGTAAAAATATTCTACATGTCTTACATAACAAATTTTTCAACTAAAATCTTAATTTAAAATTCTCAAAACAATCAATAAACAAATATAAACTGATTAAAATCTCTTAATAATATATCTTTTACACAGTTATATATTGTCAAAACTCCATATTTACTTCATGTTCAAACCGTAAAATTTTCTCTACCCAAATATTACCTTATCCTTCAAACATGATGTACTTTCACTCTCTGCCTCTCGCTCTCTCTTTCTCTTCTCTCACTCTCATTTTCTTTTCTGCCTCCCACTGTCTTAATTTACCACTCTTCCATGTTCCAACGACTCCCTCTCTGTTTTTCCTTCCTCAATTAATACTCCTCCTCCAAATTCTCTCTTCTTAAATTGGTTCAGCTTTTCCACCGAATTAAGTGGAAAAGCTGGTTTTTTATAATTTAATAATAATAATAAAATATTATTTTATTTATTATTTTTAATTTAATTTTTTGAATTACAAATATGTTTTTCTAAAAAAATAGTATGTTACATTTACAACCCTTGCTCCCCTCCCCCACCCAAAAAAAAAAAAACCAAACCGAAAAAATAAACAATTTAGCAACAACATTTAATAACCATACATACCGTACTATGAGACCCCACCTGCACTTCTTTCACATTTCCGAACACTAGTGTTCCTCTAGCAACATGTGGGAAGGGCTTTGAAAACCCACAATTTCTGTTGTGGTAGTAGCAGTGGTGGAAGATTCTATTTCTAATGTGAGAGGGGAAGGCATGACAGATTTTGGTGGCATTTCCAGCAAGTCAGGTCTTCTTTCTAACATTTCAATCACTCTACTCATTGTCGGTCTTTGACCTGGAAATGTTTGGATGCACCACAAAGCCACAATGGTCATTTTCTTTGCAATATCATTTTCCCCCTTGTTATCGAACCCATTACATCCCAAACCGCTGTCTTGCTCAAGTTGAGTATAAATATAATTTGGGAAATATTTATCAGTCGAACAATTGGCTTCAACATTCATGTTCTTTCTCCCTCCAACCATATCTAATAGCATCATCCCATAGCTATAAACATCAGACTTATGCGAAACTCCACCTATGTTTCTATTCCAAACTTCCAGAGCAAGATATCCTATTGTTCCTCTCGCTTCTGAAATTGAAATGATGTTTTCTTTTTTAGAACAAAGCTTAGCAAGACCAAAATCTGAGATCTTGGGACAAAAATTTTCATCTAAAAAGATGTTATGTGGCTTTATATCAAAATGTAGAATTCGAGTATTGCATCCTCTATGCAAATACTCAAGTTCTCGAGTTATCCCAATTGCAGTTTGGTACAAATTTTCCCAAGTCAAGCATAGACTATTCTTGTATGCATTGTTGTGAATGAACTTGTCAAGAGATCCATTGGACACAAATTCATATATGAGAACCTTTTGTTTGCCTTCAAAACAAAACCCTAGAAGGGTAACAACATTTACATGGGAAATCCTACTGATGCTGGCAACCTCATTGATAAAGTCTTCTCTATTCTCTTTTGATGCCTTCAATAACTTTACAGCAATAGGGCGGCCATTGAGGAGTTTTCCCTTGTATACAGAACCATAACCAACTTGTCCCAATTTATCTTTGAAAGAGTTGGTCATTTTCTTGACATCCGCAAATTTATATCTTGTGAGAGCTGGAGAACCATGATTTCTAATGAAGGCCTCAATATTTTGGTCATCCTTAGATGTCTTGCATAATCCAATTATTCGCCTCCGTGATTTGATTTTACGAGAAAGCAGCAGTCCTATTGCTCCGCTAATGACTACAGCAGTAACACCAACTGAAATGCAGAGTGGTAATGGCTTTTAGTTAATATGCTTGTCAAAAGAAACTACTATAAAGTATAAAGTAAGTTGAAGAAAAGAACTAAGAGAAGATCTATCACCTATAATGAGTTTATTTCTCAATGCACGTCCGCCTGTTTTATTTCTTAATGCACGTCCCCCTGTTCTAGCTATTATACGCAGAGAAGACAAAGGGGGGGTTACAGACGTATTAGAACCGGTATATGAAGAAAGAACAAAACAAAAGAAACGGATTATAAAAGTTATCCAACTCAGCAATGGGAAATTATGAAATGCAGATGATTGGATTAACATTACCACTAACTCTTGAGATGACTTTTATCCTTATAGAAGCAGCAGAGTTTATCTTTATCAAAACCGCAGTATCCGCCACTTTTTACACAGTAATGAAAACCAAGTTCAGGTGCAATCCAATTCAAAGGAAACGCCCATCTTTAAAATTTCAGTTGTAAGGCTCCATCTGATGCGGTTGTATTTAGATTATACAGAAAAGAAACAATAGAAGTGACACCACCATCATCCTCTGTATTGTTTCTTTTGATGGCCCCAACCTCCCAGTTAACAAGTTGGCTAGGAGGAAGAGGCGCTAGACTGGAAACATGAAAATGGATGACTTGCGACTTGCGAGTCAATGCAACTACTTCGTTGACATCTAAAATCTCCAAAATACCCTCAAGATTAAGTAGTTTCCAGACCAATATAATTGCCCTCATTCAGTAATCTTGCCTGGTAAAGTCATTTTCCTGTCGTTGACGCTTTCATGCTACTTTTTTCCCCCAAAAAAATGATTTTTTATTTTAAAATAATTAATTGAAAATTTTAAATTTGAATCACGCAAATTAAATTTGGGTGCTTATCGGTCTGCAAACACAAAGCCTTTTCAGACTCGAGCTTCGCCATGCAAATTAATATGTGGCGTCCCATGATTTGTCAATGGAAATGCAAAATAACACTCTTTATGAAATAAACTTTCGATAATTATGAGTTTTAGGATTTATATGGAAAGATAATTATTTAAAAAATTATTTTTAAAGTTATAATTTTATTAAAAATAAATTTAATTTTCACAAATTATAAAATTTTAATGAACATCTTTAGAAATTATTATGCATTTTTTAAAAATTAAAAGTATTCAGTACTTTTATTATATCTAAAAAATTATTAATTTTCACTTCTTCCAAAAAGTTATACTCTATCCAGTTCAAAATATAGGATAAATTTTATTAGATGGGTTTTGTTTTATAAGATAACATTTACTTTTGTCTAAGCATTTAATGAATTTTTCTTTTCGATTTTGTCCCTCATATATTCTCTTTTATCTTTGATCATTTATTATATTTTTTTACTTATTCTCTTCATTAATAAAGGTATATTTTGGGCCAAAACTCACAGATTTTAACTAATTTTTTGATAAACATAAATAGATAAAATTTATCTTGTATTTTGACTCGGAAAGAGTGTTTTTTTGAAAATTTTAAATACTTCTATTTTTTTTTTAATGGGAAAGAATTATTTTAAAAGTACCGCCATGCTCTGGAGGAAAGAAAAGGAGCGATTGTGGATTACTGGAAGACCTCAACGAGAACAAAGGATGCCGTAAAATTCAAACTTCATGGTGCCAAGGAAAGTAAAAGCGTCAATCACAAGAGAAGATGGATCCATCGTCCCAAGTGAGAAGACGGTTCTGGTTGTCTAATTACCAATTTATTGAGTTTGACTAGAAACAAGCCGTTTAGGCATCTATCCCCTTGTTTCCAATGGAAGGCAATCAATTTGAATAAAGGCATCTCTATACTAATGATTAATACGCAATAATCACAGCCTCGAGTACAGCGTAGCTAAGCAGTATGAATTTGGCAAGTAACGAATGCACACTGAGATCATAAAAAAGGAGAGAAGGAGGTGAAGAGGCGCATACCGGGAGAATCATTTAGGTTGTACTGCACAAGAAACTCTTGACCTAAAGCTTCTAGAGGGTCCTGGTAATAAGTTTCTATTGAAACCGGCACCTGAATATGATGCTTACAATAGTTAACAAGGTAGGGGTCAATCGCGACATCTTCCGTTAAGAAAGCATAATTGATAAGACGGGGATTGGAGCTCGTCCCAGGCTGGCATGCGAATTTGACTACATCAGACGAAGAGACTTGGCAGTCGTAGAATAGGGTCACGTTCTTCACAGATGGCTCGTCGTAATGGAAGAGATTGAGCGGGGTACTCACAGAAGTGTCGGTCAAATTTGAAGAACAATTATCATAGACAAAGTCCGTTCGCACAAGTCTCATCTTCTGAGAGTCTAGATTAATCCATGTGACACTGAAAGTCTGTGAACCGATTTGAATGGAAGGATATTCATTTTCATGTTGGAGACAATAGAGCTGGAACCCATCTTTGCCACAATAGTCGGGTCAACTTATGTCTGATCAGAAGGGGTAATTGATATCTCCTACTGCTCCACAAGGGGTTGGGAGGCACTCCTTGCTTGGTTGAGAACAGGAAAGTGGGAAAGAGGAAAGGAAGAAGGAGAAGGTGAGGAACAGCATAGAGGCCTCCATTGTTAACTCCCTGCTTTACGACAGCATGCTGCCTCAACATTTACGATTTATAAGTCTTTTTGGTTTTGGGTCAAGGCAGACTTTGACTTCAAGTCCTCTCTTCTTCCCCATTCCACAAATACAAAGTGGGTGTTGACTATTCAATGCGTATTCCAGACGGCCCCAAATAAAAGCGTCTAATTGTTAATCGGTAATTAAAAATCGATGTCATCAATATTTAATTTGACCGCACTATAACCGAAAAGAGTTGGATTACTGGTAAATCAAAACCCCTCTGGCAACTTAGTTGGGTACTTCAGCAGCCCAATCATAGGAGCAAGCAGGGTTGCCAAGCGTTTGGTTTACTTACCCCGTACCATCATGTTGGATGGGGTATTTATTTGATTAGCAAGAAGTTTTTCTAAGTGATCTCTAAAGACGTAACGAATCAAAAAAGCCTATGACAATAACAGAACACTGATTTGCATGTCGCAGAGCAATTGAAGGAACAAATAGAAGGAACAGGGAAAGAAAATATACTTGCGAAAGTAGGACACGCCAAGTCACGAGGTCCGTCTGTACGATAACATGAAAATTGAGACCTATCATCTTTCATCCCACAGGCTCCTCCAGATTCCAAGCATTTTTTACAGTCACCCTCGTCTGCAATATAATGCATATTAAATCCTTTATCCAAAGTAACCTTCAGCTATTCAATTCCACCAAAAGGATTCACAGTGACAACCCACGTGATGTTGTTCCGGCCGATGAAAAAACCAGGGACACAGTCACAGAATATGGTCATGTTCACAACGGTTGTGTCGAAAGAAAACAGAGTGAGGTCCAAAGAAGTGTTGGTGAAACGGAAAGAACAATTATCGTAACTTGGATGTCTGTTTGCTGACGATTAAAACGAGAGGGATCGAAATCGATCAAGGTGTGAAGTTTTGAGAGCGATTTGAATGGTAGCCATGTCAGGAGATAGGCACGATACTTCGAAACCATCTCTGCCACCGTAATGTAGTCGGTTTCCTCCCCAGAAAGGATAGGATATCACTTAAAAGTGAGGCTGCATTTTACGTACTTATGACCATCTTTCTGACTCGGAATTGTGCCAGAGTCGTTGTTAACAGCAAGAGGTAGAAGAAGAAGAAGGAGTTGCAGAGTGTGTATGGAAGCATGGGACTATGGAGATCCATTGTGACTGTGTCAAGTGGTGTTTTCCGTGACCACTTAATTGTGACTGTGTCCAAAAACAGAGGAAGAGGAGAAGAGAGGGGGCCTAGGGGAGTTTCCTAATTTTTTTCCCCCCAATCCCTGCAAAAGCATAGCATTTGATGCCCTCATTACCATTCACCAAATCAATTTGGAACAATTTTTTTTTAAACTTTTGTCACAAATTTTATTTTTGGCGGTAGTTTATATCTAAATGATATGAGTTAGGTCCTTTTGTAGGTATCAATGACGTTAAATAAGTCAAATTAATTTATTTGAAGCATCAAACAAATACTTAGGAATACATGATATGGCAGAAAGTTATAAAAACATAAAATAATCTGATATTTTTATTCTGCTTAACACTATATTGATGAAGAGAATTCTCTTATAGCAATGAAACTATAAGAATACATTAGTACTTTTGAGCAAATATACAAAAATCTTCTAAACCATATCATGCGACAACTTTTTTTTTGTCCCCACCAGAATATCATGCGACAATTAACTGTAGAATTGGCTTACTTGTGCACAAAATAATAGATACTACCTCCGGTCCTAATTATAAGACCCAGTTAACTTATTTGAGGAGATTAAGGAAGTAAGTTAAGTTAGTTATTTGTAATAAATAGGTGTTGTCATTCCTAAAATATCCTTGCTAATTAAGTGTATTGGTTAGAACTATTATTATTAGAATGACTATCTTGAAAAAAAATGCATAAATATGAGAGACAAAATGGATTGGGGTCTTATAATTAGGACCAAACAAAAAGTCAAACAGGATCTTATATTAAGGACCGAAGGTAGTATGTCTCAATTTACATCCATATTTGTTTACGCTGATTTTCTTGTGATCATGTTTTCCACAACAAAAAGCCACAACAAAGTGGTTTGGCCAAGGCCAAGAGCTTACTTACGTGTACAGATTGTGTAGATCTGTAATCTTAAATACTATATCTAATTCTTAAAATAAGAGCTATTTTAACATTTAATTTGATTCTAAATATAAACCCCTAATCTACCTTGTCTCTCATATTTATTTAATTTTTTTTAAAGTAGTCCTTGTAGCAGTTGCATATATTAAAGGTTTCATTAAATGGTAGTTCTAGTTATTACACATGATTAATAAGAGTATTTTAAGAAAAATAATATATATTTATTACAAATAACTAACTTAACTAATTTTTTTAAGAGTTAATTCAAACTTTGGTTCCTCAAGTTTATCTTTATTTTAGTTTTTCAAACTATAAGTTTTAGTCTCTCAAGTTTCTTTTTATTTATAACATTAATTCCTATAATCTAATAAAAAATTGGATCATTTTATCCCTTGAGGAGCAAAACCTATGATTTGAAATTTGATGAACTAAAACTAAAATAAGGACAAATTTGAAGAACTAAATATTATATTAACTTTTTTTTAATATACTCAAATTAGTGAACTAACTTTTATATCAAAAACTGAAGTAGTATGTGTTAATCTTGGGTTTCTTTGTGCTAATTGCTCCTATAATCATTCACGAATAATATAAGATATAAGTAATGGTTTTATATTTTACCACTTGTATAATTCTAATAATAACTGTAGTCTAAATTATAGTTTTAATAGTTACAAACCAATATATTTTTATTAAAATTAAAAAATGTAAAAATATTTAAAACAAATATATGACTATAGAATAAATATAACAGCATAAAAAAGCTAGCTTTTTCCTAATTATTTAAGGACCCCAAATTTTGTCACATTTCATGCGGATAGACAATAGAGGGGATTTGGGGAAAAAACGAAAAAAGAAAAAAGAAAAAAAAGGACTATACATGGGGATGATTAATTGATTATTACCGTATGACCGACTGACTGGGAACGCCTTTTGGCTCCAAAACGCGTTTTGATCTTGCAAACGCTTGTCGTCTGGCCTCCGTGCACTGGTGGCCGGGCCTACTTCATGCATGGGATCCAAATCTCA